TACAAGGATAGAAGCGATATCCTTCTTTGAAAAAATGGGTCCGGATAACGGAAAAGTACCTTTCAAAGCATATTAAACATCTATTTTTTTCAAGACTTACAAATTTGAGGTGTTATTTGCTCTTGAAGCTGCGTTATTATGTAATTCCCCAGAGGCGCTTGTCAATGAAAAGAACCGTTTTTTTTATCATTCCCTATCCATGTGATCCACATCTATCTTGCACCACATAATATGTCCATGTGGCTGACAACACTTATGCATTATTGATAATCAGGAATAATAAATTGAGTATATCTGACATATGAGATGGTTAGATCTGTCAATACCATGAGATCGCTTTTTCTAAATTTTTCGATGTGATGAGGGTCAAATGTATTATATAAAGCTGAATATCATTTTCCGGTATCAAAGGAGATCTCCCTTTCTGTCTAATTAATACTTTCATACTGGTTGCAAGTGATGAATCAAAGCCCTATAAGCCCGATCTGTTACCTTTCCTACACTGGGATGCGATAAAGAAGGTTTCACACAAGTTTCTGGGTTTTTTGTGAGTTTTTATGAGTAATTCTTTCGGCATTTCACCATTATGAGTTTTCACGCTCGTTTAACCTTATTTTAGGCGGCGAAGTTAGTACTTTATCACTCAGAATTCTTTACATAATTGGAGACATCAGCTATATTGGGTTGTCCCATAAGTTCTGACCGTTTTCACTTTTCATCCTCATAACTTCAATTTTTCTTGATTTCTAAAATCTCTAAGATACTTTTTGATAGAGCTTTTCGATAGAGCAAAGCAAGCTCTACCATGTGACATCCAAGTTGAAAATCAAGGTCTACAAACTTTCAGAATGCAAACAAATCGAGAAAATCTAAAACTCCGCTTCGAAAATTAGGAAGCTCTAACTTTTCACGCATATACACCTTCATTTGCAATTTCTGCACGCGTTGTTTGCTGTAATTTTCCAGTGCTAGAAACTGAGAAACAGAAACAGGCCGAAAAACAATGTCGTTTTTTTTCGAGATTATTGCATATCTATATACCAGATGATGCGTCTCGCCAAGCTGAGTCGAACGGTGTCCTTGGAACCAGACTACGTCTATTCCGAAGCGAGATATGGCGATGCGAGCCGGATTCTGACGCACTCTGGTGAAGTACGGCGCACTCCGCTGCTCTTCGGCGCACTCTGCTGCTCTCCGGCGCAATATGCTGCACTCCGGCGCACTCCGCCGCAATCCGGCGCACTGCGCATTGTGGCGTACTCCGCTAGAGTGCGGCGATTTTTATGACGAATTAAGAGCGGCATTGTACATTACACTACGCGCTTTACTACTCAATCCGAATGTTATGAAAGTTCTTTCAAGATCTAAAATGAAAACTACGAAAAATTGTTGAAGTTGGAGGTAGTACCGTAATCTCACAAATACCGACACACACCCATATCTTTCTAAACCTGAACAGCCAAGACATTCCTAAAGATTAATCCGACCGAAGGCCACTCTAGCGTGCTACTTTTCATTCAAAGAACTGTGCGGTGAAGCGACCGTGATCTGCTCAATTTAACGAAGAAAAAATTTTGTTTTGTCATTGCAATCTCAACTGTTATTTTGCTGACCACTCGATTGACCAATCTGGGAACAAGAATGGAAGACTAAAGAAAAGTTGCCCATGTTTACCCCACGTGCCTTACGATAGGTCGGGAAAAACAGCAGACGATTTTATGAGACGACCTAAATTCATAATGACGTGATTTGTAAAGTGTAGACTTGCAATTCAGGCGCAAATTGCAAAATTTTAGCACTTCACACTTGCAACGCTTTTATAACGATATTTCAAACTATTATTTTGTTGTCCAGTCTACTTACACATGGAAGTATATGGAGTTACTTGTTTTGAGGTGCTGATTTAGATACATGTTCAATATCTGCAGAGCAACCTTCTGGGGAACGTTTTTTATGACAAGCCATTCCTGCTCGCTTGCAGCATTTGATTTCTCCACTGCTATTATCTTCTAATCGTCGCAGGATTTCCGTTCATCGTTTTGAGCGTGTCGTTTCTTCTCAATCATTAGAAAACTTTTGATTGAAATACCTGGCTGGCCTATCGTAAAAGAGTATTTATGCTTTTTTACGCAGTCTATGTTCTACAGTATATTCAAACAAGGGACGGGTAATACTTGGTAAAATTTAGCCTCAAGGATTTCGAAATCCTTTGCCCAAGGACACTTTCCTTGTATATCAAGAAGGAAACTACTATTGCAACTTCTTCCATAACCTTTTTCTCAAATGCGTACTTATACTTCGGCACTATATAGTTTTTGAGTGCTGCAAATGCTGAAAAAGTACTTTCAAATCCTGCCACTACATGCGATGGTCGCATTTGTAGGATGAAACGGAAAAACTACACTTTGGCTAATTGCTACAGATTCGGAAATCCAAATTAGGGTGTTTGCAACATGTTAATCACGATAATAATACACCTCTTCCATGAAAAGGATCGAAATAGGTTTATGTTTTGCAAAAAAAAGTTAACCCCCGTGCTTCAGAAAATTTTGAGATTTCCTTCTCCTTAGTGAATATTTTGCATTGGCGTTGCTTAGAGCGCCAAATTTCGCTCTTCATTTAGTTGCGTTTACCTTCTCATTGAGCTAAGCTAGTCAATTTCAAACCATAATTTATCAGCAGTTCTCGTCCTATGTATTCGATATAAATTGAGAATGGCTTCATTTTGGTTTGTGCTCAGTAATCTCTAATTTCAGCAGTTTGGAATGCATAATTTCTATCCTGCTATAAAAATCGAAGAATTATGTGCTTCTATAGCTCACCCATATCTACGCAATGCTAGAAAATGAAGTGAGTTTTGAGAATGAGCGAAAAGTGATGACAGAAATTGCAAAACTCACTCACGAGCACAACACACAACTGTTTTCATACAAACTCGATCAGCCTGAAAAAACCAAATCCTGCGCCAAAGGACTTCCTACTGTGCTGCTCTTCACTTCAAAAACTATATGAAACAAGGGACACTTCGCGAGGAACACATGCGGCCGAGCGCTTGCTTGAGAAAAAAAAGTTGCGTCTTTATAAACTCGTAAAATTAGGGTGTTAACAAACGCTGCTTAAAATGAAACTCTGTATAAGTCAATAATCGCAGTTACCTTTCCGATTCTCTGCTCAAAGCGTCTTTCAGTAACACTCTTTGTACTATAAAAAATCGAAGTCATTTCAACTTCAAAATTATCTTGGCAGGCTTGTTATTTTTATGTGGCTGTCATATATTTGATATCATACTATCATACTATATATAAAGTCCAAGCACCCCCATCTGACGTCATCGCGCGCGCCAAAGGTGTAAACATCCGACCGTCGTTCTGTGCCGGTGCAAGCGTACCGAGCTGATGACTCATAGCGGTAGTGATGCCTGTCTCAGACGATGTTGATCAAGTGGCATGACCAAAAAAGCGCAATAGACAATCCAGCTTCCGTATAGATCGAATCGTTTTTACAAGAGCAATTCGACTTCAACTGAATTGAAACCATCTTGTTCCTTCAATTACTTCAAAAGATTGCAAATCTAGATGCAAAATTCCATGAACTAAAACTTACACATTCCATTCCACGTTAACTTTGCAAGAAGCACCTTATTAGGATGATCCCAAATATTCAATTTGTTCTAGAACCTCTGATGAGTTCGCATAGAAAGTTGCCATGAATCCGTTTTTAAAATGTTTGTTTCTCATTGATTGAAGCACAAATTCTCAATTGATTTCTATCAAACAATTAGCATTTTAACAGTTCTAACAAGTACCCCAAAATTATTGTTAGAAGAAGATTTATTTCGTTCATTTCTTGACATCTCAAGCTTCTGTATCTCTACGCTGGAGTTTTAATTTGGAGTGCATCATAACTTTTCAGAGAAGTCAGTTGTCTTAGCAAAGTAAGCGGTCTCCCATATTTCGTTTCTCGAGTGCTTAATATGTTTTCTCACCTCAAAACCAATGGATTTTTCTCGTCGGTGTCATTTGATGTGCAGCTTTTTCTCCTCTTTCTACAAGTTGTTTAATGGTTCCAATTCATATAGTTTTCCAGGATGAAATCATTGGAATTATGTTTTCCAAAGCGCTTCTGGCTGTATCCGAGATTTTCGAATCATTTGCCTTGCAAAATTAGTGTCAAACCATAATCACGACACATTTCAGGGGTTTACTACGGGCCAGGCTGCCAATGATTATCAACAACATTCCAAAGATATTTACCAAAAGTGTTTAAAGGCATCGTCCACTCAAAATCTATTCATCCCAGATTATTACCTATCCTACTATCAAGCCCCAAAAGTAGACCAATCGCGTTGGTTAGATTTCCTTAGGCCTAAATACCTCACGCGATTTGGACAAATCGCAACTTTCACGCGAACTGGCGATATGCCAGATTTTTACAAATTTATCGTGCGCGCTTCTCGAACGCATAGGCGGGTAGCTTGTGTAAGTTGTCGCAAATAGGTTAAGTTCTGACCAAACGCATTAAAGACGAATTACAGAAAGTCGCTGTTGTGCCAAATCGCGCAGCGACAGGAATCGCGCGAGGTATGACCTAGGCCTTATGTTTCCTGCAAAAGGAGAAAGCGGCCTGATTTTTTTGCGCTCCGCCTTTTTTTCGCTCCATTACCCAGGGGTTGCTCCTTGACGTGTTCAAGCAACGTCGAAACACATATTTTTGTGATGTGGTACGTTGCGCACGGCCAGGTTTCCTATAGCATACGACTTGTCTAGCGCCGAGCACTCGTCCACGTCTGCCAAAATAGGGCTTCAGAAAGAAGCAATTTTGGAGTTTTCTGCCAATTTGAACCTCATATCCAAAACCAACGCCATGGAGCTCGCAAAATCGCATCGATAGAGCAAACATAACAGTATACATTGCTTTTTATTAAGCTTCTGGTTTCCTCCGATTTTATAGAAGTGTTTTTTTTTCTAAGAGGAAAGTTTGGATTTAGCACTAACTTAGCCATGATAGCATCCGATACAGAAGACACATTTTCAGAAGCAAAAATCGGAAAATATTGCGTAAATGTCGTTCAACAACAACCAAGTGTTAAACGCCTTGAAACGTTCGAAGACAGAAATTCACCTGACAATTATTCGAATATTGGGAAACCTTATTTTGGGAAAGAAGTGATTTTGCAAACTCGCTGTGAAAAAACATAGAAAACTTCTACGTGTTTTTTTTTCTATCCGTTGCATAGACTCTTTCGATTGTCTATTAACGAAAGTGAAAGAGCAAAACGTGACGGCAATACCAAAAAATTATTGACTTTGCTTGATTTTCCGAGAACTTGTTGGTTTATCTGCAACGGAAACATATTCATTCAGAAAAAAATGTAAAGCTGCATCGGCGATTATGATTTTTCTACAACTTTGCTGCGCTTGGCTAACAATATTATTATTCGTGCACGTTACTACTCACTGGAATAACAAAAAGGGTCAACAACTAATTAGTTTTCAACTTTTACCATTGTTTGACCAATTACCAAAATCATATTGTTTTGCAGACATGCATGAATATTTTTTACGCTAGTGCGTATAAAAAAACTGATCTTAGATGTCAAACGATAGAGCCGCAATTGCTTAGAAAAACGTAAAAAAAAATGGTTAAAATATTATGAATTTAATGATTTTGAAAGTCTGAAGTTTCAAAAATATTCTCATGTCTAGAATCTGAAATACTGTAAGAGCATATTTTAGATCAGAGTCAAGTGTGGGCTCTGACGTGTCCGACTGGAGGATCTTGATCTGGGATAAGAATGAGGAATAAATGGGGCACACTTAAAACCAAACTCACCTAAAAGTGTAGGAATGCTACGATCGGACAGGGTAAAGGTTAGAAGCTTTAGATCGGCGAATGTCAATCCTTTCAAACTATAACTTAGGGCAGCGGCTCGACAGAATGAGAGCACTTATCCTTCTGGGTTCCCCTGGAAGCTAAGTTCAAGACGGTGCTTTGCAGCTTCAAAAAATATCAATAATTCGCTTTTCCAGATGTGCAAAGTGCTATTTGGGCGGACCGCGTATCCTGCTCTTTAGAGAGCGATTGGCTTGTAAGCATCATCGTACTAGCGTACCCACGAGCCAATCGCGCTTGAGGGCAGGCATATGCCGTCCACCCAAATAGCACTTTTCACTTCTGAAAAAACAGGTTATTGGTATCTTTTGAAACTGCAAAGCACAGTTTTGGACTTAACTCATCCAGGGGAACCGAGAACGATGAATATCTCAATTTGTCAATCTGCTGAGCCGCTGCCTTTGAAGGTAGTGTTATCATTGTAAAGTGTAAATACGGTGTGGACTGATGCCGATAAACTCCACTAGTTCACTTCAACAAATTCCAAAATTTCCATCGCTTACCGTACATTTAATGTAAGCTAGCTCACAATAAGACCTGCTTTCGTGCTAACGGTTGACAACTTAGGATAGACTTCTTTGGAGATAAAGTTATTGAGGTAGGCACACCTTTTCTTAAAAACTCAAAATCCCCGGACTTTGTAGCCTTGGTCTAATTCGTTTAACTTGCCTTCAAAGTTCGCAAATCGATTTGATTTTTCACATGAACAGTAGGATCAAAACCAGTTTTTGTCATCGTAAGCAATTGGTCTCAAGCTTTCCACTTCTGGAAATTTTTTTTACAAATTTTGAAAAGTGTTGTATCATAAAAATTCGCCATCAAATTCTGTCATACTGTATGTATAGTCATTGCAGTTGTACGAAGTTAAGAGTACACATCAGTTTCAGAGCGTCACCTTATGAAGTTCTATAAGTGAAGAGGAAGAAGAGGAGGTTGCTGTAGGAGTGCAGGGCAAAAAGTTGTTTTTGAAGAATGTGTGACCTAACATTGTCCCTGCAGAATTGTTTTATATTTCGCGAGTTTCAACAATCACATGTAAAAACAGCTATAAATATCGGTGGTCATTAGTCTTCTATTCTTCCTCCGCATTTGTTGATTGAAAAGGAAAGCTCCGCCCTCGAGACATTTTCGATTCTCGAAGCTGATCAGCAACGGTGACTGTTCATTTTCACAATAGTGGGCCATGCCCACCTATAAATCTTATTTTGTTAATACATGCCTATACTTCAACCTTCTCCTGACTTCCTTAGTAGTTTACTCTCACAGTCCTACGTGAGATTACTTGCTTTCTCGGATCTAACGGTTTTTGCGTCATTGAACTATGAGGTCTGGAAGGAGACAATTCAATTGTTTGGGAAAGTAAGCTAACAATGTAACGTTCATATCGTATGTCAATATTAGTCTTATGCCACTTGCAAAAATCTCAATGAAGTTAGTAGCTAGCGTTGATTATTAAAAGAACTGGATGTGTTTATGTTATACAGCGACCCTATGTCTATGTCAATCACTCATGCCTAATGCCACATTCACCCATAATAAGACAAAACGCTTCTTAACCATCAAACTTTCCTATCAATAACAACTCTTCTGTGACGCGCTCTGTGCAAGTAAGAGCAAGGGGCAAATATTGTTAAGCTTACACAGTCAAAAATGACAATTTTCGTCATTCAATAACTTGCGAGCTAACGCCGAAGACGTGCACGCTGAATGTAACACTGATGACTTTGATTCGTGCATTTTAGATGCTAATTGAGTGTGTGATCTTATTGGGCGTTTTTGTGCTTCTTTGCTCTTTGCTATGTGCTGCTGCGATCATAGCCATGTGGATGAGTCGAAGTTCGACAAAGTTAAAATGTTTCTATTACCGTTGTTGCTGGAATGAGGTACCCTATTCGTGCTTCAATATATTATAGAATTACTTGCTCAGCGAGGCTTAGAACAGCCGCTACCGTGTTTCATTATAAAGCATTGATACAGAATGAGATGAAGGCATCTCGCGCCCTTTTGAAGTGCTGTTCATCATAAGTGTTTTTATTGATAGTGTACGTTTTGCTGCACTTCGATAGCGTCAAAAGGAGAACTTGGAAACTCCGTACGATTAATTTCAGAATTTGATACTTATTAACGCAAACTAACACATCAAACATTTTTTAAAGCTTACAAGAGGTTCTAAGGAAATGGGGCACGGCCAAAGGCGGATTACTGACGAGATCAATGCTTATCCGTTCCAAATCTCGTTGACCAAAATCACCTCAAAAGATAGTTTGATTATTGTTCTGACAGCGATTCTATTTCATCCTAATCGATTATGTCATGAGACTTTTTCAGAGTTGCATCAACTTATTTACTCTTACATTTTTCCTAACGACTATGTATGTGAGATATTTCTCTATCACATTTCCCACGTTCTACTATCTCAATCGCTTTACGTGGTGGACAAAATTTGCGCAAGTTACTCAAGAGCACGTCTTATATATACAAATCTTGAACGTATTTCTTACCGTTGGCGGGCGTTTTTGCACCATATGCTTACCATTTTCAAAGATTACTCAAGTGAGTAAAAGTAGCAGAGTTACAAAGTGGTCATTTGAAATGAGGTTTGAAAAAACAGTGATGCCAAATTTTATGACCGCTATTAGTTCGATATATGTCTGGTGCGAAAGTGCATTTATACCGCAATATTTTCTACTACAATTCCGAAATTCAAGGCGAATGTGGTAGGGCAAACCAAGCTCTACAAGGTTGAGTGTAAACGTATGCATCAAGTATGAAGCTCTGAGCCAAACACTAATAAATCCGGATACCGGATAATCGAAAAAAAGCGAAACTTTATCCGAAAAAATCTAAATCCTTCATGCCAAAACACTCCCGTCAGACATTGATATTTATATATACTATGTTTTTCCCTGGTTAAAAATTAAATGAAAATTTCGATGGTTTTTCCAAAACAATGCTGAGCCGATCCCACATCAGTAGTTGTATTAGCCAGATAAACAACCGCGAGTTTTTGGCTTTTTGCACGGACTAATTATTGTTAAAATTAACAAGACAAACTACAGTAAGAAAAGCTAAGTTAGATACTTTTATTAGGTTGTCCCATAAGTCTTTTCATATTCGGACCTTCAATTCGATTTTTCTCAAGAACTACAGCACCTAATAGGCTGCAAATTTTTAACAGTAATTCTGAGTGAATAAGCTATATAATCTATCATTTGCGGGGTACACAGAAGTGATACAGGCAAAGTTTGAAAATTGAGCGCATTATTTTTTCTTGGTTTCTAGCCATCAGAAAAATGCAGCAAGCGCATGTATAGATATCCGATGAGGAGAGTATATGCATGAAAAAGTGGAAAGTTTGCAGAGCTGTTTTGAACTGAGATATGATGATTTTCGTTTTTTCGGAAGTTCGGAAAATTTTTTATTTTGCCTTGGAACTTGTTGCGGATTGAGCTTGGTGCGAACTTTTGAACGCCATCTTGTAGAGCTTACTTTGATCTGTCGAACGGTATCCTGCATTTTATCAGCAGTTCAAGAAGAACTGATTTATGCCGCTGAAAAATTCAGGTATGAAAAGACTTATGGGACAACCTAATAGAAGGCTAGCTCTTGCAGAAAATGAAAATACACGATTTCACTTTTGACCTACTGTTGTTAAGTGGCGCGGATCACCAATCTACCATTCAATCTTTTAGTAGAATAGAATACCGCTAAGCGGGGAATCAAGACAGCGCAAAGAGGACGCTTTCGGGAGTCTAGAGGAGAGCTGTTTGAAAAAGACGCATCTTCCCTCCCACCTCCTCCCCCCCCCTTAACTGAGGTGAGAAGATAGGAGATGTTGAAATATGCTGGTACACCCCACTCTGCAACTGATAAGCCCTGTACAGAGTGTTGCGAAAAATGTGCCTACTGTTCGACTGTTAATAACTCTTTCGTCTTGGAGTCTTTCGAGACGCTTTAAATAACTTTATAAAGTTGGCTTCAACTTAAATTAACAGTACGGAGTAAATTTTCATTACTGTTGGATTACGGTAAAATCATAAGACTTGTGTAACAAGGTTTTCATGCATGCTGATTTTACTGCATATTTTTTTGCTCGTAGAGCTTTTTGAATGGCTTGATCAATTTGACGAATTTCAGAAATTGGTTTACGCTATCTGGCATGACTTGTGAGAAAAGTATGGTGAAGTGTGAATTTCATATTTGAGATTAGCCCACATTAACCTAGTGTGAAAGTTTTCGGCTTTTTTAGTCCTCTTTCTTCATTATGACCCTCAACAACTCAAAACCGTCCTTATATACCGTAATCACAGTTATGAAGAGGGAACCGTAATTCGCTTTACACTGTAAATCTAAGATAAAACCAGCTCTACAAAATACCAATTGAAGCAAGACTACAGGACAACAGAATTACTAACAATCAAACAGTGGGCACATTTTCCGGAACATTCTGTACAGGGCTTATTGATTGCAGAGTGGGATGTACAGCATCTTCTAGCATCTCCTGTCTTCTAACATATCTCTCTATAATAAAATGCCAAAAACGCATCATGGTTGAACATTAGTTTTACGGAGCAAATGAGCGCTATTCCTTCACAGTAGAGAATCTAAAACTCCCCCGGTATAGTCTACAGCGCATTTCCCACGAATTGAAAATAGCGTTGTTTAGAAAGCTTAGTTCAAGTATACCAACCAACCCACAAATATTCGCATATCGCTTCCACAACTTGGTATGTTACAATGCAGCCACAAGTGACTCGAAGATAAGTTATAACGCATTAACAAGTGTTCAAAACTTCGTATAAACCTCATTTTGAGTGATAGAAAACCACTTTTTGAAGTTATGCGGCGGTCTAACCAGTTTACTTGACAGAATGTTGCAGACTATTGAGCAAATTAATAAATGGAAGATATTTGCACTGCAAACGTTTCTTCCTACTGCGACAGCAATACCTCTATATTGCCTTTATGATCATGGATACGGGATCAGGGGCATTACAATGCCACTTTGGCTGAGTGCTGTCGACCCAACTTATGACGAGGTTAGTTGCCATGAAACCAAGAACAAAGCATGTAGGGATATTTCAGGTTATCTATATCATCGCTTTAATCTATCGTTCTGTCGCATTTGTGCTTTCATTTCTCGCTTACATTTCTATGTTTTGCGTAGTGCGAAAGAAAGCGTGTGTTCACATTTATCATTTTTGTCTTGGATCTGGTCTGGTGAAAACTGCGATGTAACGGAAGGGGCACAAGTTTATTTATTTTTCTGTCTGTCATCTAACAGAAGGAGAAGTGCTCAGAAGTCTTGTTAGCTCTGTGTAATATGCGAGCAGCTCATATGTGTATGCAGGTTCCCCAAAAGCCTCTAAGCCCAATTTTCCAAAGTAGTAACTCTGTAGCACTCCTCGCTTTTCAGTCAAAAAGTTTGCATATGACTTCTTTGTTCAGTCAATAGTTTTCCGGAGAATCATACCGTTTGCAATGTACATTTTCAGGTGTGGTTTTTGAATCAAACAATACTTTGATTTTAACTTTGAACCAATGGAATTTATTCTGTTTAAACATATATAGCTCTGACCTTTGTAGCTTGGCTAACCTTGCTTTGCAAATTGTACAACTAGCTCCACTCTATAGTGCTTATCAATTGCAGAATCGGGTGCACCAGCAGATCCGTTTCTGCGAGGCCGCCTCGCCTGGACTCTCACCTTTTTCACAAACATGTGCTGTTTGATCATTTTCGCACGCCTAATTAGCAAATGAAGCACCGCCTTTCTTGCGCTCAAAGTGGGAAAGTGATAGAGAGCATGTTTGCAAAGAAGTGCAGATTCCAGGCGAGGTGGCCGTGGGGGAGCGAAGATGCCAGTGCACTCGACTCTGCAATTGATAAGCCCTGTAAAGTCACAGTGCGAAACCTATCACTATTCTCTGTTCATTACCGTAGATTTAAGATACATCATTGAAGCAGTGCTCGCTGTGAAGAAAATATTCGAAAACAAAAATCCAAAAGATGCTGAGATCTAACACCTAATCAGTTTTAGTGGAAAATTACTTTATAGTCACTCCGTGTTCGTCATAATTGTTGTTTTCTTTTTGGAACCCAAATGTTACATATTGACACTTTTGAATATCACAGGTATACATTTTAGATTGGTGTGCTCTCAAGTGTCAAAATCTTTGACTTTTCTTTATAATCAGTCATCAAAAGCAAGATTTGCTCAACTCTTCACTAAACTTTGAACAGTCTGAAACGCTTGTTTTACGAGGTGTAAGACAATCTTTCATCATCAAAGCCTGCCACGGTTATGCAATTGAATGTAAATAAAATGATGTAATCTCTTAATAGCTAACGTTTCGGCGCTTTCGTGTTCATCAGAGCTTAGACAAACTCAAGTCTAAGCTGGACTTGCAAGTTCTGACGAAAGCGATAGCGCTGACACGTTACCAGTGGAGAGCGTATATCAGTCAGATATACGCTCAATTAGTCAGACTACAAGTAGCCACAGTGCCCAAGTTTGAAAAACCGCTGAATAGGACACTGCAGTACAAGATTTTTGGCTGGCTTTTTTGAACTTCTCAAGCTATCTTCATATATTGCCTCACCAATAACAGACGTCATTTGTTGCAACTTTTTCCCCTCTTTCTCATTAGCGTTACTCCTTTATTCAATAGAGCTTTCGGCGATAAAAGCTTGTTTATCCGTAAAATCAAGGCGCGAACATGGCTGCGCTAGAAATTTAAAAATAATATTTTAAACCGATGACTGCTTTGTGATTGTCGCTTTTTATGAAATAAATATTGCATAATGATTGTTTTCTTTCAAGAAACTCCAAGCTTGATTGTTGATGAATCTCGCTATGATGTAGATATTCGTACATGTTTACTTTCCGATTATCAAGATTGTAAAACGCTTTATTCAGTCGCACTTTAGTCTGACTGTATAATGCGCGTTACAATCGTGATCGGCCAAAATAAACATATACGAACTGTTTTTTATATTTTTCGAACTTTATGGGTCTTGCAGTGTATGATGCGTTCGTGTACCACAGAATGTTGCATAACCTCAAAATACACTAAAAACACTTGTAGAAAATGCACAAAATCTTCTTTGCATTGGTCTTCAATTATTCTCTCCATCCACTACCGCCCTTCCAAAAACTCATGCAAAAATCTGAAAATTGTCAAAACGGAATGGATAAACCATGTCTAAAATTTTGAGAAATTCTAGTGACTATAGAAAGTTATTGTCCACAGCACGACCGCTAAAAAGTGGAAGAAAGCTACGTTTGACAATTTTTAAAATGTTTGCCCGTTTTCGTTTCACATATTTTGTGATAAATCAAAAAATCACAGAAGGAACTTTCTAAGCGACCTTATATTTCGTTTCACTTGGTTTCTACTAGTGTTTCCCAGGGCTCCTCTATAAGCTTAACTCGTACCGAGTTTTACTCAAACTCCACTATAGCTGGCTGCTTCTAGATCGCAATATTTGGAAAGTATCTATCCTACGCTGAGAATTACTTTTTTCTGCTTATCTCTGAAAAAAATGCGTAAGAATATGCACTTTACGAAGACGTCCCTTTATCAAGGATTTAGAGCTGTATTACCCACTTATTAATGCATGTTGTAGGAATCGCAACGAAATGCGCATTTTGATTCATGGAGGAAGCCTTCTTTCAGCACTGTTAGCTGCTTTGATATGTACGATAGTCGAGGGACTTGAGATAGGACAAGTGCGTTTCCAGCTTTTTTTTACACAAGTGAGCTGATGCTTCTTAGGACACCAATCTTTTATGCAAAATGTCTGCAGTAGACAAAGTCTCATTATGCATTTTACGCTTTATTTCAGGAATATGCACTAATGCGGTTGTTCTACTTCACAACCATTTTGTGGGTTCCATGCATTGATATAGTAACAACTTTCTGGATTACAGCGTCCTTGCGAAATGTTGTCAACCCATTCAAAAAAGCAACGGAGACATTATTCATACATTCGACATTCTAATGTTCACAACAAGTGCTCATCTAAGTACAGCTAACTCGAAGAATGCTGTAGCATTTCTTTATTGATAGAAATTGTAAAGCGATCCTGAAAATAATGATATACTTATTGTTGTTTTACTTTAACGACAACGCTTTATCGAAAAAGCGATACTGTTTATTACTAGCACGGTATCATACCGATGATCGAGAAGCACATACCATATTGCTCATTAAAGCTTTTCATAAAAAATGTGTTTCATATATACATAGTGCAGACTCGCTTAAATCGACATCGTTATCGAAGCCTCTTTTAATCAATGCGTAGAAGTTGAATGAAACATAGGTCTTACTTTATGAAAAAAATAAAGGCAAGTATCCGATTGTGCTTTTTCCGTTATTTCTAAATATATGATTGTGCCGCGTTTATTCATAGTTTTAATTTGACATTGATAAGATATGTGACATTAGAATGATAGATTGCAGTTTGCACTTGCAAATTCGCATTTCTCCATAAAAATTCCATGGTTGTATCTGTGGCCAAGTGTAAACAGAATAAGGCATAAAAAGCTAGTTTTCAAGCACCGTACTCGCAACAAAAATCAAACTATTACTTGCGGAGAGCGATATGTATAAAAGTCAAATAAAATCATAACTTTTGTTCGCAAAGCTCCAAGTTGCTCTAACTTTGATAATCTTCATTTCATCGTTGGTGGAACGCTAGCAACACCTACTAGCAGCAACTAAAACTTTTGCCAAAGAATGAACGTCTTGAATCATTTTATATCAAACTAGCTGGCTTACCCGGCTCCGCCCGGCCCTGTCAATTCTATGATTAAGGTCTTATCCCTATCCTTATAGAACCTTTCATTGTGCCCACTTCTACATGCAATTCCCTATTCCCGCTGTGTTAGTAATTAGCATGCCTACCTATCTCCCTCAACAACCCCCAGCCCCGTAGCTCAAACTTGGCAAAAAAAGCAATAAAACCGGTAAAAGTAAGGACAATTTTGAAAACTGGTGACGCTATTCGGCTATCTGGCCCCAAAATGTTTTTGTGATGGATCTTGCTCAAAGTCGGTACATGAAGATTATTAAAGCCGCTGATAACGAATATCGTACTCATTTCGCGCGATATAACGCCATTTTCTGGGTTTAGTTGGGTACACATAAGAAGCTAAAATCATGGATTTTGCTGAAACTTTGAGAGGCGGGGGGCTAATTGACATGCTGATTACGAATATCATAAACCTTCGGCATTTTGAGGCGATTTCACGGAGTTATGGTAGGTATACTGCAGAGGGGCGAAATTTCAGTTTTGGCTAAAACTCGGTCTAGACCGAGTTTCTCTATAGAGAAACTCGGTCTTCTGACCACGTCTAAAACACTCTCGTTGCGTTAAACCTTTTCGCAGGGTTACGGTAGGCACATGGCAGCGGGTAAAAAGCATAAACCTGTCTGAAACCTTGGCAGAAAATTACCTAAAGTGCTGTTTCAAGAATATCGTGCTCAATCGCCGCGATAAAGGCTATTCGTGTGGTATAAAAGTTTTCCACGACCGTAGTGCTTTCCCTTATAGGACCACTGCCACGCGCGAGACACCCTTCGGCGGCTTTTGCTTAAGCAAAAACAGGGGAGGGAAATTTGCCGCGTGCGTTACACATTGGGACAGGTTATCAGTTTCCTTATAGGACCACTGCTGCGCGCGATACACCCTTTGGCGGCTTTTGCCTAAGCAAAAACAGGGGAGGGAGATTTGCCGCGTGCGTTACACATTGGGACAGGTTATCAGTTTCCTTATAGGACCACTGCTGCGCGCGATACACCCTTTGGCGGCTTTTGCCTAAGCAAAAACAGGGGAGGGAGATTTGCCGCGTGCGTTACGCGTTGGGACAGGTTATCAGGATGGCGCTGGAGATCGCCATGCAAAACGAGCGTTTCCCCGTCTCTTGAAAATCTGGGATCTAAATTGGCCCGAAAGCGAAAAAATGTCCATTGAAACCCTGCAACTCACCATAACTTCACTATTGCGTTATGACAGCGAGCAAGCATCATATTCATAAGCGATATACTTGTGAACCGTTACAGATAAGGTTTTGAGCAAATCTAGAACTTCGACCCATCTACACCCACTGTAACCAAAGAAATTGCACTATCCTGCGAAATCAGCATGATATTCATGTTCAGCGCGCTAAATGACCACCCTAGACGAAGTTTAAAGCAAATCTATGTTTTCGACTTCATGCCATATAACCACCACAACTCTATGAAAAGGTCCCAATATGCAGAGAGAGATGATATTCGTAATTGGCATGTCGAATAAGCCATATGGCCCGAACTCCAGCCGAATTCATGATTTTGACTTCCTACCGTACACCTATCGTAACCACACGGGAAGGCGTTTTGCGGAGAAAGTGTGATATCTGTAATCAGCATGTAAAGGGCCGGGCATACTTCACGCGATTTCAGTCCCGATGCGATTTGGCAATTTGCCAGAAGTCTTCGGATCCAACTTAGCAAACTGCACATGCATAGTGTGTATAACTTACGTGAACTGATGAAATGCCCTATCTTCTGTACATTTATAACGTGCTTACAATGAGTTATGAACACCTGGAATATTGCCAAATCGCGTCGCGATTGAAATCGCTTGAAGTAGGCCCGGCCCTTAAACGCACCGTCCACCAAAAATGGAAGTTGGCGAGATTATGATGGCATACTAGTGTGGGCCCCCATTATACTTGGGTCCGAATCGAATAGAAATTCGATCATTCGAATAAAACATTCGAATATATTCGTATTCGAAATTCGATATTTGGAGTTCTTCCATTTTCGAATAATATTCGAAACTCGAATAATTGAGAAAACGGAGTTTCGAATAAAATTCGAAACTCGAATAATCAAAAAACAGGGTTTCGAATAAAATTCGAAAACTCGAATAATCAAAAACCGAGGTATCGGATATTATTCGAAAACTCGAATAATCAAAAAACGGGAATTCGAATAGATTTTATTCGAATGTTTTATTCGAATGTTTATTCGAATTCGTATTTGAATGTACTCCGTCTTCAGATTATTCGACTTTGTTGCAGAGCCAACTGCTGAGTATCAAGCTCAGTTCGTCCGCGTTATTTTTTCACAAAACTAGGTAATGCATCTTTTGCAACCGACCTTTGAACTGTATGGAGAGTCGCATTCTTCCGACTGCTTGCGACAGTAAAAAATCATATGGGGATTTTATTTGATGTTTTTTCGACCAATGAGATTGTTCGCACTGCTATTGACACCAAATCAGCAAAGAAGGTATCAAATTCAAGCTCATGTTCTGTGTTCATACTGAATTGAAATGGCTGTTCTTCTTTCTTTGCATTGCTCATGCTTGCGGTACGCAAAGCCCACATTAGTGAGCACTCTTGCTCGCATAAATTATTGCAAAACTGCCTATTCGTTACCTTGGAGTTTTTTGCGAATTGGTGTATATTGAGTAAAGGACATCGCAGTTGTAGTGCAGGATTAGACGGTTTAGATCGCCGTACGCGATTTGCCAGTTACGAGATGTCTTCAAATGTAATGGCAGCTTACCACAAATGTTTAGCGTGTACAACATACTAAAAAGATAAATGCCCTGCACTGTACTTTCAAAATAGGTTTTGGACAATTTGAGTATTGCCATACTACGTCGCCACTGAAATGCCTGCAGTATGCCCGGGGTTATAGGGGCATTCGTGCTCCTTCGCGGAGGAAACCACATGCCTTCGTCCACGACTAACTTATACCACACAAGACGAAAGTCTCCGATGAACAGGCAATGTATCGTACATTTGTGGAATTTAAGTACATATGTGGCCACCTTATTGCTTCAAAAGATCGCACACTTAGCGCTTTAAATCCGAACAGCTCGTTAGGTGTTTACACCAAGTTGCAATGTTTCTCATTTTTAGTTTTTAGCTCCAGCCAATTTTATCTATACTCTGCTAAGGGGTTACAAGGGGTAAGTAAGGGTGCTGATTATGAATACAATTTACTTCACCGATTTTATCGATTTTTGGAAAATCTGAGCTACGAGGTTGGGAGTTGGTACAAGGGGGTAAGCGAGGGTGCTGATTATGGATAAAAATTTACTTCATCGATTTTATCGATTTTTGGAAAATCTGGAGCTACGAGGTTGGGAGTTGGTACAAAAAGGTAAGTGAGGCTGCTGATTAAAACCGAAATCTATTTTATTGATTTCAGCAATTTTTCGAAAATTTTTAGCTAGGAGTTGGTATAGGGGATACTAAGGGGCTGATTATGATTGGATCGGCTTTAGCCAGATATGTCGGCTAGTTTGAGATGTGATTGCTTTAGTTATTCGATAAATCATTCGAATATTTATTCGAAATTCGACTTCCAATGTTCGAATATATTCGATATTCATTCATTCGATATTTTTGATTTTCCGAATTTATTTGAAATTCATTCATTTGATATTTTTGATTTTCCGAATTTATTCGAAATTCATTCATTCGATATTTTTGATTTTTCGAATTTATTCGATATTCATTCATTCGATGAAAAATTATCGAATTACCCAAGTATAGCCCCCATATTAGACAAACCTCCAAGTTTCGCCGCAAAAGACTGCTTCTGGAGCGAGAGGTGGGCGGGGCGACCCTGGTCGCCCACTTGCATGCTTTATCTGCCTGCGCTTGTTGCAGAGGGTTCTCGAAACAGGTATTTTTGGGGGCTTCGCAAATTTTCGATTCCATATTCGGAATCAGGGCTTTCAGAAGGCATGTAGGCGACAAAAACATTAAATTCGAGATTTTGTCTGGACGGTGCCTAAGATAATCCTTATACACGAAGTTTGAGCAAGCTCTACCACAAGAAATTCTGGTGCCCGGATAACCGAATAGCGTCAAACTAATATCGAACTCGTAATCAACATGCTCGATTACCCCACTGTGCAAACTCCCAGCCCCGTAGCTCAAACTTTGCAAAACAATCGATAAAATCGATAAAAATAATGGACGATTTCAAAAGCTA